ATACAATTTAAAAAGATGTCAAAAAGATTTTGTTGAATTTATTTCATTTGTATTCAAATAGAAAAATAAAGATATTTAAAGATATTATCATTAAATTATGTAACATTTGATAATCTTCATAATCTTCTTAAGGAATAGTCCAATTTTTAAAAAATCACACATGAATCTAGGTTGTGACTTCTCTTTTAATAGAAAAGATATCTTCAAAAATATCTTAGTAGAAAGGAGAGGTTTCTCTTTCTAAATTTCCAATGTTTGTCTTCAGTTGTTTTATTGTTGATTTTTGAATTAGAAATTTGTTACAATTTGCTAATTCTAGTTTAATTTTAGGTCAATAATGGCAATAAGTAATAGTAGTGTGATTTTTTCAAAAATAATATAATTAAGTAATGTTTTTTCCATGATATCTTATAGTTAATTATATATCATGGAATACAAACAAATGTCCATCCATATACAAGAATTTTCAAATAAATTTCACATCAAAATTATTTTAAATATTAAGTAGAAGTAAAATAATTAGTGTAGTATTTTGTGTTTTAAATAAATATTTTAGGCGATTCTTTTTTTCTAAATGAAATATGATTCATTTTGGTTGACAATTATTCTTTTTAACTGATCTATAACGAGATAATAAATGATGCATACTTTATAAAAAACAGAAGATAAATCATCTTCACACAATTTACTTAACTGTAATGATTTTGAAGTTCAATTTATTGAAAATTTATATAAAGCGATTTCATATAAATAATGTCTTACAAAATATAAAATTTCATTTTTGAAAATGAAAAAAGAAATTATGTCGAATATTTAACGAATCCACTCATCGCCCGAAATGCGGTCCGGCCCTAGTAACACATAAAAAAATGTTTTTTAAAAAAAAAAAAAACTATAAATGTATTATTTTTATAAAAAAAATTATAAACGAAGAGAAGGAGCAAGCGTGTGAATTTCTTATTTTCCAAATCGAGTTGGATGACAAAATTATAAATGTATTAATTTTGATAAAAGAAATTATAAATGTATTTGAAAAGACCATTTTTGTTGCCTCTTTGTCTTCGAGTGCACTCCCCACCTCCAGATTTCCCACCGCCCATTTTTTTGCTTTCCGTCACATGTCTCCGTCTTATAACAAAAATGGATTATTGTTAGAAACTACAATTCCAAATTTACACGAACTCTTTGCTATGTATATTTTCTATAAAAAACACGTTTAACATATATATGTATATATACTGAATTTATGCATGCAAATATTTAAAGCTTCTGAAATTTTTTTTAAAAAGATGATAGATATGCTGAAAAGATCTAAAAATTAGCCAAATTCAGAAATTAACGACCATTTACAATATAATTATTATTCGATTTCAGTATTGTGAGAATATATATAAGTATAAAATATCATGATTCTAAAATAAATCTTATGATATATTAAGAATATTTCAATAAATTTAAGCGTGTAAGCTTTTATCTATACAAGGCTAGATTGGTCTTAGATTTTTGATGCAATCGATGATCTCGTGGTAGATTTTAGAAAATATCAAACAAATTCATGCAATTAGAAACAAATCAGATATAAGAACAAGATGCTGTATTAAAAATAAAATATTATATACATATGTAACAAAAGATTGTCAAAACCAACAAGTTAATTGCTGGAGTATATATAGATTGAGTAACATTGTTGTTGATATGTAGTTTTAATATAAGACTAGATGATATCAGGTGTTAGAGAACAGGATATACATTTTTTTTTAATAATCCAACGTAGAATTATTCGACACTGAGTTTACATGCTAAAATGGTTTGTTACCTGATACCAATTACATAGAAATTAAGATGTGTCCAAAAGACCAAAAAGATGACTCACACACATGAAAAAGAAGATAATCTCAATTACTTTCCAAAAATAACTTTACAGGTTAGGGAATTAGAGCATTATCAATGGTAGTGATTATGTTGAGTGCTTAAAAAAAAGATATACTAATATGCGGGATCCTTGGAAAAAGGAAGTGCCTGCGTTTTCTCTACTTCTTTAAGCGCGGATGTTAGTTTCGTATGCGGACTTCATTGACACGTGGCGGTCCCTAATTAATTTATATTTAAAAAAAAAAAAAAAGCACATCTACGTTAAAGGTGCCCTTAAAAGTATATAACAAAGATTGGGATAAAACTTAGTCACATCTAGAGCAATTTTCTTTATTAACAAGCAAAAGTACCTTATCACTCGAAGCATTTAAATACTGCCGCCTTGTAATGAAAACATTATTGAGATATATAGTTTAAATATGCATAGAGATCACGTGGAATTTTAGTTAAAGCCTCTACCAAATCCAAGGATGAAGTGGGTGACTTGTCCATGTCCATTTTTTCTTTTACTGCTTGAAAACGATCTTTGATCCTTTTTCTCTTTTTGAGTGATGATGATCAGTAAGCAAATCTTGTCGGCAAATATAGATTAATACTTTATGATGACCTTATAAACTCATTTTGGTCCTGATGTTAATGTTTTGAGCAGCACCACTATCTAAAGTTCAAACAAACCAAACCAAACTGATCTGAGGTACAGCTGGTTCTTTGATGATCCCGGTTTGGAATTGGTTAAACAAAATTATGATGGAGTACCGGTTTATGGTTTTGCAAACTAAAAACATGTTATTCAATCTGGTTCAGCCGTTGCTTCTCTATAAACCGTCAGAGCAGTCATATTATTTGTTAGAACCTTTGCAACATTCATCTTATACACAGACACTTGAAATAGTAATGGATACGATTTTGAAAGATCAATGAATCTATATAATAATAGTACACTTTTGAAGCTCCACAAGAATGAATCTTAGATGAGCCAACAACATACTTCAGGTACGAGAGAGAGAGAGAGAGAGATACCTTATTAAACATTTCATAGCCAACTTTGATCCGTACATCCTGATCTTCCTTAAAGTTCATTATGTTCCAGGCAAATTCTGCAGCTCCAATAGGGTTCTTCTACTAGCACAAAACGAGCACATGTCAGGCCCATTTTAAAGCCATGACACTCAAGCAAGAAACCTAAAAAGTTCTTGAGACCAAAAAAATGAAAGAACCTGATTGAAGTCTTGATCAAAATCACACCTCCCTTTAACATTAAAGGTGACAAGGCTATTAGTTATCAAAGGAAACTCTTTTTTCCCACGAACATGACACCGGAGCTTGTGGCGCTTATCATAATGGAATCCTACTCCAAGGCCTGTTGAAGCCTAACAGAAGTTTGTGACACTATTATAAGCTCTACGGTGGAGAATATTTCAGGACGAAGAGATAGTGGGAAACAAGAGAAAGTGAGGATAAAACCTCGGGGAAAAGGTGTCTAATCATGGCACAGAAATAACTAGGGGACCGAGTTCCAGTATCTAGCTCTCCATGAAGCTATCACAAAACAAAAACCACTAAAGAGAATAAGAAACAGAAGAAGCAAGATTTTGATCTTCATAGTGAGAATGAAGTTAACCACTAAGACATAATCTTATACGGTTATACCTAAACTAAAAACACATTTCTAAAAAAGCTCAAAACTCAATAACCTTAACAAGAGTCTCAAGCAGAGGAAAGAGTAAGTGTGTCAGACACAAACCTAAGCCATTTTCTTAACTTGGCTCCTACAACAACTTAAATTATAGAATCGAAATCACATCTCATGTCAGAATCATTAGTAACTTCCCTAAAGGTTAGCATTTTTCATACTCCAAGCAGGAATGGCTTCAAACATGATAAAAACTTTACACAAAAACTCGACCACTTTAAACGTTTCCAAGATATCTAAAACACGAAACAATTCAAAAGCAAGACATTGAGCTAAGAAACTCTGTTTCAAAATACGAAAGTAGACACACACAAACGGAATAAGTTGGGAAGCTACGAAGAGTTTCACCTGCAAATGGGTTTTGGAGTTGAATGGGAGCTTCTCCTTAGCATGGATTCTCAAAGACTTTGAATACCTCAGAGAAGTCTCCATTTTCTCTCGAGAATATCACTACCAGAGCCCAAAACCAAAACCTCACCAAGATTCCCACTCTATCTTCTCTGCACCAAGCTTCAACTAATAAGATTGTCGAAATATTATTTAGCAGATCTGAGCCCATGTTAAGGCCCAATAAATGGGCTTTTATTCACAAAACTATGCACAAAAACCTTCACATGTAACAAATACTCTCAACCTTCCCAAAAGTTTCTTGGCACCAACTTAGCGTATCTATCCGTTTCCCATACCGAAGGAAAAGGGAAATCTAAACGCTCTTTAGCCAATCTCTCTGTCACCCTAAAGGAATGCCGGGTTCCATCAGCTAGTACTCAGTTTGATTACTAAACCATTCACATTCAACAAAGGAGACACCTTGACATTGGAGGTAGTGGCTGCATTCACCAATCTGCTTCAACCGTTTCTTGAGAAGATAACTCAGAGAGATATCCATCTTGTTATGCTCCAAGAAAGCGCTCAGTATCTCTCTCCTTGTGTGGTTGAGTCTCAGTCGTTGTCTATCAAACTACCAAATGCGAGGGTTTAAATCTTACACTAAGCTAGAGAACACGAAGCTTCAGGGTTCATAGATTAAGTATGGTCCGTATAAGAATCTAGTTCAGTATTCTTATGTGTACATTTTGAAAGCAAGGCTGCGTTTGCTGTGGCGGAGAAGCTTGTGAGGGAGATAGAAGTGTCTCATTGGGGTAAAGTTAGCGATGTCAACTGGACACATTGTCCATGGGTGGCCCATGTCCAAATCAATATGGTCACAGCCCAAATCCATCTGGAATACTTTTTGTCCAAATGGGATATACCCAGATACGCTCAAAGTCCAATGGACAAAACCAAATGGACATGGACCGCCCATGGACTAAAAATATCTAAGATTAATATTGAGGAAAAAATCTTAAATCTCACTTTCTCCGTCTCTCTAGTCTCGACTCTCTCTCTCTCTTGCGATTCGCCTTGTCTCTCCATCTTGATCTCCTCTCTCTTCTTCGATTCGCTTCATCTCTCTTCTCACTCACTCTCGTTTAGCTTAGGATTCTTCGGTGGGTTTGCGATTTGATTCTCGTTTAGCTTAGAATTCTTTGATGGATTAATGCTTCATGATATTCTCGTTTAGTTTATGGTTCTTCGAGTGTTTGTAGAGTGTTTGTAAGCTTGATTCCCTGTGTACTCACAAGTGTATAATTATTTGTATACCAATATTTTAGTGTAGAATTGTGAATGTGCATTTGAGTTTGGTTTAGCTTATCTGCTTATGAGAGAGTACAGGACATCCATCATCTCGTTTTTAGGAAAGGTGGAAATTAAAGTATGTTATTTATTCAATTAATCAATGATTTACAAATGAGTATCATATGTTGTTATTCGTTCAATTGATCTCAAAATAATATCGAAAATCAAGATTTGTTTAATGTTTTTATGTTATGTAAAGTTAATTATATATTCTTCTGAACAATTTCTGTTGTTGATTCTATAATCTACTTGTTTTTTTATCCAAATCATCCGTATTTGAGTTGTAAATCCATTCATTTAATTTTTAAAAAAACAATGGATTTTATATATGCAAATATGCATTGAAGTGAAAACAGAATTTAAAACCATGAATCAACTAAGGTTGTTATATTTTTATGAAAGGATTACAAGAGACAGCATTCTAGAAAGAAACAGAATACTCCATTTCAAAAACAAAATCAAACCGCTCAATTTAGTTCCAACGAAAAAGAAAAATGTTGAAAGAAAAAAAAACAGAAGGAAGAATAGAAGGACGCGCAGTTCCAAAATTAGGTCTCATGGATCCTTTATTTTCTCTTCAGTTGCCTTCAAAATTTATCACTCCAATCAAGATTCTCTTTCCTTCAATCAAACATTGCTTCTTTGTTGATGGATTCATAATTATTTCCCTTTCTTCCTGGAATTAATTAGAGAAAAGAAAGTTTGAGGGATCGAGCTAGGTTAGAACCTCAAACCAGATCCATCTCTGAATCCATTTCTTCCACCATTGTTGTTGTTTTTCCTTGGTGCTTACGTTTCATTTCATTACCAAAATTTATTAGAAAAACAATGAGGTGTTTCTCTTGTATCGACACACGAACCCATGACATGCGAATCAAAACAGACACCGTTCCTTATCTTAACGATCATTCCTCAGGTTTTAAAATTTGACACCGTTCCGTAACTAAACATGATCATATATCTCTCCAGAAACACTTATTGTTTGTAATTCTCATGTCTTTGCAGTTGACACAAGAGGCAACTCAATAGGAGCAGGGTCAAAATCTGGCATTTTAGGTTAGGCATTTACATATGATTATTAATAATAGTTTTTTTATGAAAAATCATATAATTAATAATTTTTTTGTGCTATCACCAGTTAACGGGAAAGTGAATAGCCTTAAACCTGGGGGTGGCGCACGGAGTTTCACGTTCAAGGAGTTAGCCGCCGCAACCAAAAATTTCCGAGAGGAGAACATGATCGGTAGAGGAGGGTTCGGTAGTGTCTTCAAAGGACGTTTATATTCAGGACAGGTGAGACAAACAACCTCTCTCTGTCTATAGTTTTTAAAACATATCTGAAATGGTGTAGTTAAATATTTTGCTGTTAAATCAAACGTCACAGGTGGTGGCGATCAAGCAATTAAATCCCGATGGGCATCAAGGAAACCAAGAGTTTGTAGTCGAGGTTCTGATGCTTAGTGTCTTACATCATCCTAACCTAGTAACTTTAATCGGTTACTGTACTTCTGGTGCTCAAAGACTTCTTGTTTATGAATACATGCCAATGGGTAGCTTAGAAGATCATCTTTTTGGTTAGTCACTGTGTTACATAATATATATATATTTTCATCATGTTTTTATTTTACTGCTTTAACCTAACTTCTTTGTTCTTGTTGTTTCTAACCTTCAGATCTTGAGCCTGATCAGAAACCTCTAAGCTGGAACACTCGAATGAAAATCGCGGCTGGTGCAGCTCGTGGGATAGAGTATCTTCATTGTAAAATAAGCCCATCCGTGATATACCGTGATTTGAAATCTTCAAATATTTTGTTAGATAAAGACTTTAGCCCTAGACTCTCTGACTTTGGACTTGCTAAAGTCGGTCCTGTCGGTAACCGGACACATGTGTCGACAAGAGTCATGGGTACTTATGGTTACTGTGCTCCAGAGTACGCTATGAGCGGAAAGTTAACCATTAAATCGGATATCTACTGCTTCGGGGTAGTGTTGCTTGAGCTGATTACTGGTAGGGAGGCTATTGATTTGAGTAAACCAAATGGAGAACAATATCTTGTTTCTTGGGTAAGTAAAACCAAATATTTTTAAACCGGAATGAACCGGAACTCATTTCTCTCGTTTAACCGTGTTTTGCTCTTGGTGTTATGTAGGCTCGACAGTATCTCAGCGAACCTAAGAAATTTGAACATCTAGTGGACCCGTTGCTGCGTGGAAAGTACCCAAAGAAGTGTCTTAACTACGTGATTGCCGTTACCGAGATGTGTCTGAAGGAAGAAGCAAATCAACGACCAGATATAGGAGAAGTTGTGGTGGCATTTGAGTATATAGCTGCTCAAAGCAAGGCTTATGAAGCTACAAGAATGGCTCGCAAGTCTACCGACTCTGACAGGTCAAGAGGGCAAACAAAACAGAGTTTCTAAGTTGTATGGGGCCAAATGTGAAACCTTTTATGTTTCTTTTTTATATTTTATGTTCTTTTTGGGAGTTTTTGTCTAGTCAGGTTTATAAATGCGATTTCCGCAAGAAACAATGTAATTTTTTTCTGCTTAAAATGATAATTATAAAAATAGCAATATATATATTAATAATGAAAATATTATGTATTTTATCAAGTTTTAGTGATGATTATAGCTGAAATTATAATTCAGTTAGATCTAAAAGTACATGTTATATATTTAGTTTTTAAGATACATTTTTTTGTCGATCTATTTATTTTTAAACATTCTCCAATTGGAGGCATCGATTTGAAGCTAACTGTAAGAATGTGACATACATGATACAATAATATAGTCAACATCTGAAATTATTTGAGCTTTTTCTAACAAAAAAATGTAATAAATGTAAGTAGGTGACGAACGGAGTTACGCGGACGTTTTAATATTTTTATATCTTGAACACGCTGTTTAACCCGATTTACACATCATTCCCTGTATTGATCATACAATCTACATACTGCAATTTAAATTTAAGAAGAATATACTAACATCTGTCCATTTTCCATGATAATTTAAATAAAGGGCATATCTTCAGAAAAAAAAAAAAAATCTAAACCATCTCATACAACGGTCTTAGTGTCTTATTACTATCTAACTAGGATAAGACCCGCGCCTTGCGCGGGATGAAACTATTTTTTAATTATGTTTTAGAAAATGAAACAATTAGTTTGGTTTCATCCGGATTAGAGGTGTTCAACCCGGATATCGGGTTTCGGTTCGGCTCGATTTTTTGGTATTTTAATTTTTAAAATATAACTACTATTCTAAATCTATATGTACTTCAGTTTGATTTGGTTTATATACCATCGATTTTCAGTTTATACAGTTTTATACCAAAAAACATAATTATTTAGTTTGAGATCATATTATATATTATACAAATATATAATATGATCATATTTAGAGTCATATTGTCACAAAGTCAGTTATTAAAAAATATTATATATTTAAATAAAAGAATAAAAACAAAAATGTTTCTATCATCTAATAAAATGATCAAATCTAGAATTAATATCAAAACATTAAATTTTGAAAATAAAAATAAAAAACAAAAACAGAAGCATGAAAGAAAAGTTTTTATATTCTTTCATATTTAGTGTTCATCAAACCAATATGTCTTCGATTGAACACAACTCTGTTTGTTTAAAGATAAAAAAAATTGTAAAGAATTTCAACTAATTGTTGTCCATCAAATTTATAATCTTTATTTCAATTTAGTTACTGTTAAAAAAGCAAAAAGATCAAAATAAGAAGTCTCAGTTGTAATAAATTGTTAGTTATTTACGAATTATAATTATAGTTCAACTCATGTAACAAATAGATATTCATGTGTCGTTATAAATATATATATTTACATGTTTCAGTTTAATCGGTTATAAATCAAATCATATCCAAATCCTATGATTTTTATAAAATCACATTCATTCGGTTTGTATGGTATATACCAAAAATAACCATATTATCGACTGTTTAATATCTTTTAAAAATATAAAATTTAAAAAAAAACTAAGATATTTAAATCATTGATAACAAAAATTTTCAATGTGAAAAATTTAATAAGTTTATAATTTATAAATGTTCTTGAAAATTTATTGAAATTTTTGAAATTAAAATATTTATGTAATGTTATATGGTATATGGTTTAATCTGTAAATATATTTGTTTTATTATTGGATGATACTTTTTACTTATATGGTTTTAAAATCATGTATATCTTTTTATAATAAAAATGTTAAACTATTGATCATTAATTTTTAACGTAATAATTTTAATAGTTTTAGTTATTTATTCTCGTTTTTTTAAATTCAAAATATAATCTATAGGAAAAAATTTAAAGTTTAATTTTATAACTAATTTGATTGTTTAATTTATTTTAATAATATAAAATTAAAGAAAATGATAGAGGATATATAAACTGTAAATATTTATTATAGAATCATTAATGGTAATTGCGTAGGTTTTATTTATGGAAAGAAAATAAAATAGTAATTATATCTATGGAAACAATCATAAATGCTTCTATCATAAATGTCATATCATATCATCATATCATATATATTAGTCATTTATGGTAATTCCGTAGGTTTTATTTATGGAAAGAAAATAAAATAGTAATTATATCTAGGGAAATTATCATAAATGATTCTATCATAAATGTCATATCATATTATCATATCATATAATTTGACTAACGAATGTATCTAGCGACATATAAAAATCGAATGTGGACCTATTTATTTTTCAATTGAATGTAATTGACTACCTAATTGAATGACACCTAAGCATGGGGTCTTTTTTAATTATTACAAAAGTGAGGTTATAATTTTTCAAATGTTTCTCCTTTAATATATAAGAGATGCTTATTTAAAAAGCTTTGTTTGGACCGTCAACGGCCGCGTCAGTGAAAGAAAGTCACAGAACTGGGAAATAGAACGTTGAAATATGCGCTCTTTAAACTTTTTCTTTGAACTACAATTATCAAATATCATGCTCAGTTGCTCACGTTTCAACATACTATCGCGCGTTGGTAACTAAACATCCGGAGATATATCGTTTTGACCCTCGTTTTTCATTTATCCTTTTATGTTTTTCGTGTAAATTTTCATATACCATTGACCATGATATTTTTTGGATAATTGGTTTAATGATGACCATGATATACTGATCACTATATGACAAATAGACAGCAAAGCGTCTTTTAGATTTTCGATGTACTATTATTGCTTTGTTTTTCCACATATAAAACTAATGCTTTGTGAGATGTTACAAAAAACTAATGCTTTGTGCTTTTTACAAAACAAATAAGTTTTTATTTTGAGAAAAAAAAAATTATTTTTTATTTTCTCAAATTTATTTTATTTTATTTTGTGGCCACTTAATATTGATTTATTTTCCCATAGTTGTTACGTCAATAAGGTGACGTATATGATTGGCACAGTCCATGTTAATGGTTGGTATGCTAAATTGCATGACAATGAAAAGTACGATCAAGGTGTAAATTAAATTAGGAATTAAGTGAATAATTATATACTTAGTTATAATTAAGTAAATAGTTATTATTTTATATTGTACATATAATTATAGGATGTGTGTTTTTTTAAATGATCTGCAATATTTAACAACACCTAGCGACCATGTTTGTTTGTGTATGTGTGTTTTTTGTCTTCAGCCTGGTAAACTAAATTGTAATCCGGCTAATTTGGACATGGTTCAACAGTCTGTCTCCAATCAACTGCCAAGACCATCATAGCCGAATATGTTTATGTTTTTTGCAAACAAGAAATAATATTATTAAAAATAAAATATTATGATCATTTGTTGTGTAGTGCAATGGAGTTTAACTAAATTTGGTATATTCATTTTTAAACTTTTAGACTTTATGCAATTACATTAGTCAAAATGCAGCCAAACTCACTATACAGAAAACATTTAACCCTACGTTTAAAATTAAAAGGAACATAAAAACATAAATGTCGACTTTTTAGATGCCAGTGTTTCCCGATTTGCGACCGAGCCATTGACTTGTACTTTATATTTACATTTTGACAAATCTTAATCTTCTTTTTCTTTAAGCTAGATAAATATACATACTTTTTTTTTTCTTTTTTGCACCACAAATATGTACCATGACTAACTAACGTTGAAAAAATTTTGATCATAAAAAAATATCGTCAATCAGCCAATCAGACAGAGGGGGTTCCTATATAACCCACACGACGAAAGCAAATAATACAACGACTTTCTATCAAATTAATTCCACAAAGAGTTTTTGCTTAGTCTTTTCTCTCTCTTTCTCACCTCCTTCCTCCATCTCTCAGCTAAAATCCCCCAGAAAAGGAATCAAAGACACTTGGCAAAAGGGTGGTTCTCTCTTAGCTTATGATCCTAAAGCGTGAAGCAAAGATAACCCAAAAGAGAGCAGAGTCAAAACTTGTGTTGTGTCTTGATGGGGAACTGTTGTTTTGGAGGATCTTCTAGTGTTCGACATGAACAGAGTCCTGTCTCCACCATACCCCTCCCAGGTTCATACACACACATCTCTCTGTCTTCTTTTTTCTTTTTCTTTTAAAACTAACTTTTGTAGTTAAGTTTCAACCTAATAAGATCTTGTGTTGATCTTACAGTGGTGAAAAATATGCAAGATCCAGTAAAAACAAAGCTTCCACCGCCGTTGGTGGCGATGCCGCCGTCTAGGGGTTTGAAACCAAAGTTCCCGGCGGCGGAAACAGGACGGAAAACGAGATCCGTCGGTAACCCACCTCGTGAAAAACCGCAAGAGATGACAAGATCCGTTGATAGTCCACCATTAAAGACGGTGGAGAAACTAGGTATAGGTAAAAAGGCAGTGCCACCGAGCGGGAAGATAGTGACGCCGAGTCTAAAGATGTTCTCATTAGTTGATCTTAAGACGGCGACAAAGAATTTCCGACCGGAGTCGATGATCGGAGAAGGTGGATTCGGACAGGTGTTCAAAGGATGGGTGGACGAGAAGAACTTAGCTCCGTCGAGGGCCGGCGTCGGAATACCAGTAGCGGTAAAGAAATCAAACCCTGATAGTGCTCAAGGCTTACATGAATGGCAGGCAAGTAAACTCCATATTTTCTTTCCTTTTTCACTTATTTTTATTCAATTTGCATTAAAATCATTAAAAGTTTCTAATTTAGGAAATATAGAAATATCATATGTGCATAAATATAGGCGCAAATTAGGGAAAATTGCAGATCGGGATGTATTTTGTTCTATTTCGTGAGATAAATAACAAAAAGCTGGATATCAAAAGTTTCTAATTTAGGCAGTACAGATTGGAAATATCATTTGTGCATATATTAACACACAAATTAAGGGAAAATTCAGATTGGGATGTATTTATGTCAGAACAAAAAAAAACTAGAGTGGTCATTTTATTTTTAATGACTGTTATACTTTAAAAGGCGTACGCACATATGTGGAAACCTTTTAGCTTGCTACGTACTTGTCGTGTTACTATAATGATAGTTTTTAAAACATAGTATACATTACTTGGCATTATTTTAATTAGGGGTTTCCTATTGACAGATGCATCAATTTAGGTTTAATTTCAATAACAGAAAAGACAAAACAAACGGTAGAAAATACTTGAGCAGCGTGTTACAATCTACATATGATTAATTGATAGATATGAAAACTACTGACTATATTTTTAAAACATAAAATAAGTACCTGTTTTTGAAAAGAAATTATAGTTTTTTTTCTGAAGAAATTATAGTTTAATCAAAAGTATAATTGAAATTCATTGTACCCGTCTCATTTATATTCCCCACTTTTTAATATTTAAAAGAAGAAGAAGTCAATTTAACATAATGCCAAAAAGTAGAGGAAGAAGAAGTCAAGGAATCCTCACGTAAATGCATTAGTCAATCACGAAAAATACGTATATCATGGTCAATGAGACGTATATTAGATAATTAATGATGTGGCTGGATGTCTTCTTCTTGTGTCGATGCGTGGAAATTATTTTCTTCTCTTGTGTGTAGTGTCTCCAGCTGGAAATTCCGTTATAGATAGCTACAATACCAAATAAAAAATTGTGAAAGAACAGTCACGACCACAAAGTATTATAGATAGAATATATAAAACATATTAAGATACGAAAACAATAAACAAAAATTAAGTAAATCTTGACCTGGTTTTCGCAAGAAATGGTGATAAACCAATGTATATATTATATTAGCTTTGACCATTAACTTTTCAAATGTGTAAGTTGTTGAACAAAACCCAGCTTTTTAAATAATTATCAGGAATTTCCATAAATACTGTAATGTTGGATATAATTGTTAATGTGTAGATATGTTGTAAAATTGCAGTGTGAAGTGAGATTTTTAGGGAAGTTTCATCATCCAAATCTGGTCAAGCTTTTGGGTTATTGCTGGGAAGAGAATCAGTTCCTCTTGGTCTACGAGTATTTGCCTAAAGGAAGCCTTGAAAACCATCTCTTCTCAAGTACATTTTTTACTCGTCCATTAATCACCTTATCTTACACATCATTTTCTATTTTCTATATATTTAAGATGTGAACGTAATGTGTATGCAGAAGGAGAGGCGTTAACATGGGATACACGTTTGAAAATAGCCATTGAAGCAGCTCAAGGACTTGCCTTTTTGCATAACTCGGAAAAGAGTGTTATTTACAGAGACTTCAAAGCTTCCAACATTCTTCTTGATTCCGTACGGTGTCGTTTCTTGTCATATCTATGTCCTCTGTTTTCTACATGCATGTTTTGTGTTTAGTTAACACGTTGCCGTTTCTTACAGAACTTCCACGCCAAGCTTTCTGACTTCGGTCTAGCCAAAAATGGTCCGATTAATGGTTTCTCCCACGTGACCACACGTGTCATGGGCACACAAGGTTACGCAGCTCCCGAATACATGGCTACAGGTAAATAAAAAACGTGTAATTTTGTTTGAAAAACACATGTTATACAAGTCGTCATTAAAATCTTTGTAGATAACAATGTATTCTTTAATGTTGTTATAGGTCATTTATACGTGAGGAGTGATGTTTACGGGTTTGGAGTGGTACTCCTAGAGCTATTAACCGGTCTAAGGGCACTAGACCCAACCCGACCATCTGCACAACAAAACCTTGTGGAATGGGCTAAACCGGCTCTGACTCAGAAAAAGAAGATCCAGAAAATGATGGACCCACGCCTCGAGCACAAGTATCCAATTATGGCAGTGACCAGAACCGCCGCACTAATTCTAAGGTGTCTCGAGGCTGACCCGAAAAACCGACCACCCATGGACGATGTACTTAGAGAGTTAGAAATAGTGAGGACTATCAGAGAGGAACTAAAAGAAGAGAGGCGTAAACGTGGCGGTGGTGGTTCAGATCATAATAACCGTGTTAATGGATATGGTTCACCGCACGTCCGTAGAACCGTTCGAACCGGATAGTCAAAGAGAGTGCGTTTGGATAGTAGTCATACACATGCATAAGTAAAGCTTTTACTTTAAGAAAATAAAACTTATTTTTTCGTAGTGTTTTGGCTTTACATTTCAGAATTAGTGAATTATAGTATGGCAAAAAATCTTAGCGAAATATTTACTCTACAATATAGTTACATTCTCATGCAAAACAAATTTCATTTTTGTAATTATAGTTCTTTTTTTTTCCTTATGATGCAAATCCAATTTCTAAAGAAAAGATGTTTAAATTCTTACTTTAATTAAAGTACTGTCTAAGAACATCCAAAGTTATGTTTCTTTCAGCTTTTGTTCGCTTTTTTTCAATGACTAGTTCTACATTTTGAGGCCATTCTATTGAATCTCCCACGTACTTCTTTTAGTTCCTTATCCGTGGCTGTCCTTAAGCTTCTAGGTACAAGCGCCATTATAGTCGAAAGGACATTTAACATTTTCCTCTGCTTCTCTACATCCCTGCAAGGCAAAAAGAACTCTAACACGAAGTATAGCAAGTAGCAACTGTACCATGTAGTCCAAACATAGTTGCGTGGTAGAAGAGAAGGTACTCAGATTTCTTGTAGCTAGAGAGACATTAGATGAAAAGCAAGGACCATTTTTTAAAAAGGCTTCTCCAACAACTCCCCTTGACCATTTGATATTTTAATAAGCCCAAAAAATGAAATAAAAACCAAATCGTCAACAGCAGGGTTCGAACCTGCGCGGGCGAAGCCCAACAGATTTCAAGTCTGTCTCCTTAACCACTCGGACATATTGACTTTGATGTTTATAATCGATATATATAATATTATACTTATAGTATCTTTCTTGTTTACCAAAGATTACAATGAGAATTAGATGAAGCTGATCAAATTAAGTTTGTACTGAATCAAACAAAAATACATTATAAGTTATTTGAATCCCTAACAACATTTTATCAGAGCCGTAGCAAGAACCTGAATCTTAGCCAAATAGTAATGACTTATTATATCATACGTTCAGATAATGTTAGTTTTTTTTTTGTGCCCATCAGATAATGTTAGTTAAATCATAGTAACTACTAACTAGCTAAGAAAGTAAATAAACGAGGAGTATTTTAATTACAACGAGGCGGTTGGTGGTCGGTGATAATGAAAAATACATTGAATCGTGGTAACAATAACAATTACGGAAGAAAATAATAAGAGGATGATTTGAAATGGTGTAATAAAAAAAATAGCCGTTGGGGTTCCAGGGAATACAAAAGAAGGCGAGCTTTCTTTTTTTCATCAGGGTTTTAACATCCAACGACTCAGATTAACTAACCGTTAAAATTCAGAAAAAATAAACAAACATATTTTTATTTTGCAGACATACATCCGCTCTTCGCGTCCTTCAAAATCTTTGATAAAAAAGAAAGGAGTCGCCTTGGAGAGAAACAACAAAGGAAGGAGGTGTCGAATCCGTTTTCTGTTATGAGATTTTGCTGCTGACAGAGAGAGAGAGAGTTAGCAATCGATTTTGAAAGCCATAAAGGTGAACACTTTAATGTAGATTTAATCTGGGTTTTTTACGACGAGATCTATACGTCCTTCTTCTTGTTTGGTGGGTCTTTCTTCAATTTCCGTAATCGCTATTCAAAAAGTCTCGATTTTATTTTGACATGGGTTTTTACTTACACAATGTTTTTACAGAGACGGGGTAGAATGGGTAGATCAGACGAGAACAAACACGGAGTTATTGGACCCATGAATTCGAGGAATGGGCAGACAAGAAGAGCACTCAGTAACATAAACAAGAACATCATCCATGCTCCCTGCGTTGCTGCTGTCAACAAGAGACCATTGTCCCAGTAACTTCTTGTTCTCATTAGTATAAACCCTTTATAAAGTTTGTATTCACAAGTCCTAAAGAACCAATCTTTTTTTTTTTTTGTCTCTTCAGGAAGAATGGGATAGGTCACAAGAAGATTCCACCTGTTCCTGTACATCGACCGATTACAAGGTCAGTTTTGTTCTGCTTTCATATCACAATTTTGTTTGATAGAGTTTTTGTTTAGTAGATTTTTCTTGATTTGGTTTCAGAAAGTTTGCTGCTCAATTAGCTGAGAACAATCCCCAAATACATAAACAGGCAACACAACTTTTTAATATAGTTTGGTATCTTAAAATTAAGTCTAAATCTCAATGTGGTTTATGTTTTTTTTATGGTTAGGAAAACAAGCAGTCAGACTCGATCTTGGACCAACCATTACATAGAAGCGTAACAGATTTGGAAGAAGATGAAGACTTTAACGAGCCAATGTTTGTTCAGCACACTGAAGCCATGCTTGATGAAATTGACAGAATGGTAACAACACGTCACAACCCCTTCTTGATTATTGACTCGGTTGTGAAACTTACTGTCTTCCTTTTTGTACAGGAGGGTATTGAAATGGAAGATTCCAATGATGAAATAGGAGAGATCGTGATGGATATAGATTGCTCTGACAAGAACAATCCTCTAGTTGTTGTCGAATACATCAATAAAATATATGACTTCTACAAGAACAATGAGGTAGGTAAACTTTGGTGTTCTGTTTGTTTCCCCTAATCAAGATATCAGTGATTGAAACCATTACATTACTTTTGTAGTGTCGTAGCTGCGTCCCACCTAACTACATGGAGAATCAACCTGACATTAACGAGAGGATGAGAGGGATCCTTGTTGATTGGTTAATTGAGGTTAGTACACACATAGACTGCTCTAGTTTGGTTTCTTGGAGATAGTTTATTAACTGATCCTTGTTGTGTACAGGTGCATTACAAGTTTGAGCTGATGGAAGAGACCCTTTACCTCACAATCAACCTCATAGACAGGTTTCTTGCGGTTGCTAACCATGTCCCAAGGAAAAAGCTTCAGCTTGTCGGTGTAACAGCTTTGTTGCTTGCTTGCAAATACGAAGAAGTATCAGTTCCTGTTGTTGATGATCTCATCGTGATCTCTGAAAAGGCTTACACTAGAACAGAAATTCTTGACATGGTAAACATATCTTCACTAGATCATCAAACCATGGAAGCTCTCTAGATTCTTGTTTGATGGAGTTTGTTTACTTGCAGGAGAAGTTAATGGCGAATACATTGCAATTCAATTTCTGTCTGCCAACTCCGTATGTGTTCATGAGGAGGTTTCTCAAAGCTGCACAATCTGATAAAAAGGTTTGTGTAAATAACTTCTTTGATCATATCTTCGTTATATAGAGGAGAATCAAATGTGATTTTTGTGTGTTTGTTTCAGGTGGAGCTTCTATCATTCTTCATCATTGAGCTTTGCTTAGTTGAGTACGAGATGCTTCAGTACGTTCCTTCTCAGTTAGCTGCTTCAGCTATCTACACTGCTCAATCCACGCTTAAAGGCTTCGAGGAGTGGAGCAAGACCTGCGAGTTCTACTCAGGCTACAATGAAGAAAAGCTTCTGGAGTGTTCGAGGAAGATGGTTGGTTTGCATCACAAGGCAGGGACAGGGAAGCTAACAGGTGTTTACAGGAAATACAACACATCCAAGTTTGGTTATGCTGCAAGAACTGAACCAGCTGGGTTTCTTCTGATCTAAAAAAACCAACGGTTTAGGTCACACTGAATCATTGTAATGACTAAGGGAAAGAGAGAGAGCAACATAAGTTGCAATAAGCTCGAGTGACATTTTGTTTGGTGATTAGCATATATGACAACGAATTTCACTTACTGGTGATTAAGTCTTTTACTCTTTGTATAATAAAACTGATATGATAGCAAGTTTCAGTGAAGCCTTCTTGACTATGTAACAAAGAAGCTGGTTGTTTTCCATATTCATGTGTAGTTTTAAGGCTCTTTGCGACTTGAGTGATGGCCGGAGACATGAGTATCAGGTTTCAACAGTTGATAAACCTAATTAATTAACATCTTCATATTTCTTAGATGATTTTTAAGAGAAATTATTTGAGAGATTTTAAAATGAGAAAATGACTAGAATAGACTTAAAAAGCTTTTATCACAAATATAGATCTTAACAATTAAAATGACCAAAATAGCAATTAAATATTTTTTAAATATACATTTATACCCCTTGGGTTAACTAATTCTAGATTTTTTTTGTTTAGAGTTGAGGAGTGGGTTTTTGGGAATAGGGTTTCGAATTTATAAAAATTAAGAAAACTTAAAATTTTCAAAATAAAAAATGCTATTTTGGTTATTTTAATTTTTGAGATCTATTTTTGTGATAAAAACTTAAAAGAGGGTTATTTGAGAGAATTGTCCTTTTAGAATAGAATTATAAAGCGTTTAAGAAGGCCATCTAATTAATTAAATATCAATGTAATTTGTGTTTACATTTTTCAAGATTCTAATTACAAAACTTCCAGTGCACATATGCTAAGTGAATAATATTGTGACAATATTTTAGTATCAATGGGATGATGTGGAAGACTGAGATTTTATATCATACTGTAAAATAAAGAAAATTAAGAAATAAATCTTATTGATTCTCTATAAAAGAAAACAAATCCATCCAGTACAATTTTGGAACCATATTTGATACTACAATTGAAAGACATTTCTCTACATATTTTTATTGATATCGGTAGACAAAAGGAATTAAATGATCTCAAATATGATGAAAATTGGAATATACATAAGGCAGGTACAAGAATAACTATTAACTTCAAGGACAAAAAAATACTTTTCTTTTCCTCTTGCTAAATTAAAAAAAAAAAGTAATACTTTTCTTGCTACACAAACAATCCACTTATGTACCTCGCACATCTTCAAGACTTATAAACTCTTCAGAGCACTATTTATAACTTATAATAACATCTATTAAGACTAATCCACTTCATTATTTATACCCTATAACCGTCACACACACTCTCTAAAAACGCCTAGTAAAGAATCAATACATTTGACTTGAGAAGACAATTATAATAAACTTAAACCAAGTATTTAAAACATTCATTAAACATATCACCTCCTAATTGTAACGTAAACTATACATGTAGATTTAATTAATTAACATATTTATATTCAGTAGAGATACTCAAATAACTTTAGAGGAAAGAAATTAAATACAAAATAGGAAAAGGAAATACACAAAAAAATACAATCCCACGCTGAAAGTTTATTTCACCTTCCACCATAACAAACTATAACTCCTCTCTCCCAAGCAGTTCCAAGTTTTGAATCGCGTGTGACTGCGATCACTTTACGCCGCCGCGAAGATCCCGTCGTCATGTACGTCACCACCAAGAGAGTCTCCGACGTAGATCGCCGTCTCTTCCTTATCCTCATAATCCCTTCTCTCTCCCTCCTCTTCTTACTCTCTCTATCTACCTTCACCCTTGATCCTCTTCCAACTCTCGCCCCTCTTCGTAACCTACTCCACACACAAACCCTAACCGCCACCACCGAAACGTCCGATCCACGGCGGGGGAAGAGGGATGAGTTGGTGAGTTCGAAGATGGCGGTGTGTTTGGTTGGAGGAGCGAGGCGGTTCGAGTTAACCGGACCGTCGATTATTGAGAAGATTCTTAGGGTGTATCCTAATGCTGATTTGTTTCTGAATAGTCCTCTTGATCATAACTCTTTCAAGCTGAGTTTGCTTAAGGACTCGCCGAGGCTCGCGTGGGTTCGTATCTTTGAGCCTACGCAGATCGTTGAGACTGAGGCGATGGTTCGGGTGCTCACGCCCATGCATTCTCCCAATGGGATTAAGGTAAATTATCAAGTCTATAAGCTTTCTTTTATCTTTGAACAAAATTGCTTGATTCTTGATTAATTGCATGCTCTATATTACATCGATATTAAATTTTGGAAAAGGGGATAAAAAGTGGTCAGGTGTCCGTTTAGTTAGAGGGATTTAGGGTTGGTGTAACCGTTTCTTGATCCATACGTTACTCATGTGATGAATTTTATGTATTATGAATGTACACTTGTTTTGGATTAGAGTTATTAAAAATAAGAAATTATAGCAAATAATATATTATTGATAATCAAATTTAATATGTTTTAATGTGATAAAACTGAATAAATCTATTGTCTGGAAATAGAATGTAGCGTTTTTATAAAATATTATTTCAAGAAGTCGTATATAGCTAATGACATTATGATATGGTGGTATTAGGTACTTCTCGAAAATATTTGATCATTAGAAACGAATTGTTTTATGGGTTAAATGCCTCTTTCTTGACTCGGGTTCTATAATGTCAGTATGTGAGATTGCAATAGTAGTACTATAAGTTTATGATTTCTCGGTGATTGTCATTGACAAATGACACGCAACTCGCAAGGTTTGTAGACTGGTTAGTTCTATATCAGTCCGAGAATATCGAAATTGATTCCTTACCTTTTCGAGACCTACTTTCCCCCATAAAGAAGATCTTGATTAGTTTGACAACTTGTTAGTGACAAAAAAAAGACAACTTGTTATTCAATTAGTATAAATTAGAAAAGGGGTATTCTGATTTGGGTATTTATTAATTTATGGTAATAATTATCTATCAAATGGTTAATGCTTGGCATGATGATGTTTATGCGTGGTGAACTGGCGTGATGATGCTAATCACGGTGGGGTTTAGTGTATTTTGGTTCCAAACAAGTATTAAGCATATGGTTAAAACTTTGTTGCATCTATTTTTACAGCTAACATATCTAATATTGAATTTTGTTTTCTTGCATCATTTTATTTCTTATCTACTCACCTGTACTTGATTTTATGATTCTACATTTTGAAATGTCGTTTTAGTATAAATCTGTTATATACGTGTTAAAATTTATAAAATTAAAAGTAACTAATCTACACAAATAGCTTTTACCATCTCCTAATCTGCTCAAAGTGTGTTCGTTTATTTTATACATGTTCTGATAATATGCTCTCATTTGATAATATGTTCTCATCTGTGTTTTATTTCTTGGTCACAATGACAGGGCTTATTACAATACTTCAGTCTCGTAGAAGGTTGTATCACAATGATAAAGGCATACCAAACCGAGAACAACTTCACGTACGACTGGATAGTCCGAACCCGCGTTGACGGTTACTGGACCGAAACCCTCGACCCTGAATATTTCAAACCGGGTCAATACCTAGTCCCACCTGGATCCTCTTACGGTGGCCTCAACGACCGCTTCGGCGTAGGCGACCTCAACACCTCCACGGTAGCTCTCTCACGCCTCTCCCTCATCCCCGACCTTGACTCCGCCGGTAAAACCAATCTCAACTCCGAATCCGCCTTCAAGGCTCAGCTCACAACTCACCGTGTGCCTTACGTAACCAAACCTCTCCCTTTTTGCATCATGTCTGACCGAACCTACGAGTTCCCTCCTTCTAAATACGGAGTTCCCGTTGCTGCTATCTCAAGCCAAGGACCCTTGAATGGTGCCAAGTGCCGGCCGTGCACGGTAGCGTGTAAGGGCTCGTGCGTGGCGGAGGTGATGGGAAAGCTGAGGAGAGGGTGGAGTTGGACGGAGTGGAAGCGCGAGACGATGGAGCTGTGTGATGCACGTGGGGAGTGGGAGGAAGGTTGGGAGGAGGTGTTTGATGGAGTCGTTGGGGAGAAACTCGCACGTGCGAGGAGAAGAGTGGGAGGTTTAGATATGAGGAGATGTGTGGAAGAGTTAGATGAGATGAGAGGGTTGGCTGTTAAGTGGGAAGCTCCCGCCTCTGAACACATTTGTAAGTTGGGGTTAAGACCCAATTAGAACGTATCAATTTTAGGTCCCAACTTAACTGGCTAACAAATTTTCCTGTGATTGTTTTAGTTGTTGTTTCTTGTGGATTCTTTGGTTGGAAAATATATATTACAGGTTAATTTTGATATTTGAAAAATTAAATCATGTGTTTTAACAATATACTAGATCTTGACCCGGCGCGGGTTTAACTTAATTTGAGAAAATGTAATAAATTCAGAACTCATCGATTATTACTGTGTTTAAGATATTGTGATCCACGTTGTATGTGAACTATCATATTGAATATAATAGGACTGGGTTGTGATTTTCGGTTCAGCTTTTATTAGGTTCTTTACGTTCTTAGTTTTTTTAGTTCTAGAAATATAGAAACTGTTTGTTTATCTATATAAATTTATTTGTGTCCGGTTCAATTTTTCGAACCAAAAAATTCGACCCGAAATTCAAACCGAAATAAAAATACCCGGAAATCCGACCCGTAATCCGACCCGAATTATTGTTAAAAACGAATATTCTTAAATATTGTTAGTGACTAAAATTAATTATATTTACGATTTTAAATAA